GGATGAAATATCAAACACAAGTTTCTAGTTATCTGTGCAATAATGTGTATGCGTCAGAAAATCTTGAAAAGTGGTTAATGACAATATAAAATGACCAGCGAAAACTTGCATTGGTCTAGTTTTTGAGTTAAGATAGATTGTTAATATTTTTAAATTAAAGTATAACTTCAACCCACAGTTCTGGTAAGTTAAACACTAATAGTTACAAATGTAATTAATTAACGTGAAATGCAGATTTTTTTGCTTGCAATTAACATTATTAAAAGATGCAAAATTCACTTTTCCGTTAATTAATCTGCAAGTTTGTTGTCACCAAGTTCATTGTCACCTTACCTGCATGGAGTGTCACACGGGGTAATATAATATAGACGGCGCTGTTCGGGCTCATGCTTGCGTGTCCTCAATCTGTGTCACTGTCTGTTATGCTTTGACCTGAGCAGAGAGACTGTGGCCAGAGTCTTGCTTTGTTCTAAATCAAAGACAACTAACTCTATTGTCTTTGACCTAATTATCTGTCCGTGAATTAAATATAAGCTTACATTGGAGTGGTGTCGTGGCGAAATTTACCCCCGTAACTTCTAATGGATACAGATAACCAACAGGATATTAGTGCGTGCAAAATCAATTTGGACGACTGCTTTACCACAGCCATTGATATAGCAAAGGAGCATGCAGGACCGGTAAGGAATATCTACTATTGTCCAATTGTCACTTCTTACATCACCGAGGAAGTTGTGAATATGTTGGCCCATTGTTATAAGTATTGCGCACGTTAATATATTAAATAAAACAAACAAAATATTTCTACAATTATATATAATAATGGGAGTTTGAAAGTTCAATTATTATAAGTGAACACGAGGAAATCAGTGGCGTGTGGTGGGGGAAGTGAATAACGCGGTGTCTTCGCGGTGACATGCAAATGAGTTCATTGTAATATATATTGAAGTGCCCGTGCAGAACACGATTGTCAACATTTGTGAAAAAAAAAAACGAGTCCACAAAATTAAATTGATACATTCTTTCATGCACTGCTTCGAAATTGTCTGTATTATTCACATGGTACATTTTTTTTTTAGTGAATGTTGTTTTGCTACAATTTTAATAAATTGTATTTAATATGGATGCAATCAGTTATAATTTTTATTATTATTATTGAAACAATGATCACCAGTAGTGTAATGACACTCAAATGAGGAGGCTTCATTCCCTTGCACTGACCCAAATTCATTACCTTAACTGGTGAATTAAGATTTTGGGTCAATGATTGTTCTCAATGGTGTGTTTATTAATGCCTTACCCTCAACTCTTTCTTATTCAGTCCCAAACAAGGTTTTTTTTTGTTTTGTTTTTTTTGTGACAATCAGACACTGAGTATCAGGTTAGTCTTAGCAGTGACAATTATTGTCAAGAAATCTCCTCTGGCACAAATCTCAACTAAATTGAAACATTATACATACATACAAAAATATAAATTTTTTATAAATCCAAATGGCTGTTATATTTCAAATTATCCAATCCTGAATGGTATTGTAACATCATTGGAAGTTCTAATAATTTCCAGCAAGTGCTTTATAAAGCGAGCAGTCAAGTTACTGTCACATGACAAATTGTGTGTGCATTACGGGTAAACAATGTTGAGCTTTATTAGCCAATCCCTATTAAACATTTGAATTTAAATGAAAGCTGATATTATTAAAAATATTTTATACTCCTATAAACTAAACTACAGCTTTCTGACATTTACTGGTTGTATCCATATTACTGATGTCCTGGACTTGTATGAGTCAGCTTGTCAAATAGAATAGCAATACTGTAAAATAAAAGTTTTAGCTGTAATTAATTTTCGCCGAAAAGAATTTTTGGGTGTTTTGTATGTAGTTTATTTCCACTGATTTTTGACAAGTTGAATGTAAAATATTTGAAAAAAAGGTATATTCACTGGATTTTATTTTCACTGAATCATCCCTCCAGCGAAAATGGCGAA